GGCTTCCACGGGAGCAGGAGCATGTCCATCTTGTTCATTTCTGTATCCCTAGTACCTGGTACAGAGCAGGCATTCAAAAGTAATTGTTGAATAAAGGAATGAATATCTATAACACTCACTTCCTGGTAGACCCCTCTGTGCTCCCATCACCACCTGGGTTCTTTGAGATCAAGTTCAATTCAAAATACATATACCAAGCTGAGATCCGGGACCTGTGCTGGGCACTGAGAGTAAAACTGATTCACATCCCATATCCCAGGATTGAGCAGCAAGCTTGGCACACAGTGGGTGCATAATGAATGCTATGAGTCGGAATCGACTCAACGGCAATGGGTTTTGGGGGGTTCTAACACTTATAACACTCTTACCATATACCAGGAGCTAGTTACATCCGCTAACACAACTGCCCTAGGAGAATGGTGCTACTTGGTATCCCAATTTGCAGATAAGGAAACTGAGACACAGAGGAGATAAGATCCCACCCCTGCCCGCCCAAGATCACGTGTCCAGCAAGGGGCAGAGCCAGGGTCTGTTCCCTTAACCAGTATACTACACTGCCTCTGAGTAGGAGAGCAAGGCAGAAAGCCAGGATCCCCACCCTCGGCCCAGTGCTCTTCCACCCTTCCACGGGACTCATTTATTCAATCCTTCAACACATCTTTGTTCTATGCACAGAGGATCCAATGGTGAACAAGACCAAGTCTCTATCCTCAAGAAGCTGACATTCTGGTGGGAAATTAAAAAAACAAAATAGTTGCCATCAGGTCAATTCTGTCTCATGGTGACCCCATGTGTTCCGGAGTAGAACTGCCTTCCATAGGGTTTTCATGGCCGTGACCTTTCAGAAGCTGATTGCCAGGCCTTTCTTCCAAGGCACCTCTGGGTGGGTTCAAACCACCAATTTTGGTTAGTAGCCCAGCATTTAACAATTTGTGCCACCCAGGGATTCCCTCGTGGGAAATACAGTACAAAGCAGCAAATCACAGACAGGTAATTTCCTATGGAAATAAGTACTGTGGGGCCTCGAGGCTAAGGGAGAGGGGGCAGTGCTACTTTAGATGAGGAGGTCAGGAAAGGCCTGTCTGAGGAGGTGACAATTGAGCTGAGATCTGAATGACAAGACAGAGCCACGTAAAGATCTAATCAAGAGCCTTTCAGACAGCAAAAACAGCAAACGAGGTGGGAAAAAATCGTGGCCTATTTCGGGGCAAAATGGAGGCCAGTCTGGTGGAGTGTAACAGACAGGAGGATGGGGTAGGAGGTGAAGTAAGACAGGCAGGAGGGCCCCGTTTGGATCTATTGCAGAGGAAAGTGACTGGAGGGTTTTATAGACAGGAGTGTTAAGATCTGATTTCTATTTCTAAACATCCCGCTGGCTGCCTTGGGGGGAAGGCAGTTATCTGTGTGGGCCGACCCTGGGAGGCGACAGATGGAAACACCCGCACCACAGTTCTTTCCCACATATTCCCGGAGCACCTGCTGCGTGCCCAGCCCCGTGCTGGCGCTGGGAACACTACAGAGACAGGAGGGGCTCCCTCCACTGGCACAGCCCAGTGGGGTGAGGGGTGGAGGGATGAGAAGACAATTAGTCTAGGCTGGGAGAGAGAGGCACAGGGTTCCTAAGAACCTACATGAGAGGAGGTGAGAGGCAAGAGGGCTTCCTGGACGAGGTCGCACTGGAGATGCACCTTGAAAGACAAGTGGGAATCAGCTGGATGAGGGTGTGCGAGGAGTTCCAGGCCGAGGGAACAGCACGGGCAGGGCGTGGAGGATGGTGAGCGGCAGGAACCTAAGATAGACGAGGCACGTGACGAGCGCGGGTCCGTGGAGAGCCCGCGAGGGTAGGCGGCAGCTGCGCGAAGCTGGGGTGTCTGAACTTCAGCCGGCAGGCGCCGAGGAGCCGTTTTCCGTCCAGCACTACTTAGTACCATGAAGTCTATGATTTAGTTATTTCCTGGCTTGTTGTTTGTCCCCTCCACCAGAGATCTTTCTGCACGTCTGGCACGAGCCTGTCACAACGCTGACGGCCCATCAACCTGGCCACCCCGAGGCGTGAGCGGCGGGTGGGAATCCGCGCAGCCGCAGCCTCGAGGCCCCACCCCCGCCGCTGCCGCCCGCGTACCTGGGTTCTTGGGCTCCTCCTCGCCCACAGGCTGCAGGTTGATCGTCTGCTTCTCCTTGGTCCCGCGCTCCCCCTTCTTGGTCACCGTGCCGGATGTCTTCTGCGTCCCGGGACGCGGGGCCCTGGGCGAAGTCCCCGGCGCGCTCGTCTCTCCCGACATGCTGGTACCGTCCGCAGCGACTTCGGGGACCCTCGCGGGGGCGGGGAGGCAAGATGGGACTCTGCGGGACTCGCCTCAGGGGTGGCTATATCAAGGGTCTCTGTTCCGCGACCACGGACCGGTCTCTCCCGCGGCGGATTGGCCTCCGCGTCCCTCTCCATGGCAACCGTGCGGTGTGGGAGGGCCCGGCGGGAGGGGGGGGGTCACCCAGAGCGCATGCGGGGCGCCGCAGGGTCAGAACTAGAAGTAGAGAGAGCCGTGCGGGAGGGGCTGGCCGGCCTGGGCGGGGGGCGGAGCTAGGCCCAGAAACGGGGCGGGGCTAGGGCAGGCCCAGGAACGGGGCGGAGCTATGAGAGGAGGGAAGGGCGGGACCAGGGCGGAGGGAGTGGGACTAGGGCGGCCCGATGTCACAGCGAGAGGTGAGCCGTCCAGGTCCGACTTGGCCGAACCTGTGCGAAGGGTGAGGGGTTAGGGCGGCCCGGACCTGGGCGGGGCTATGGCGCAGAGAGACCAGCGGATCTGGGGCGGGACCATGGAGAGGGGAAAGAGCGGAGGGGGCGGGACCATGGAGAGGGGGAAAGAGCGGAGGGGGCGGGACCATGGAGAGGGGGAAAGAGCGGAGGGGGCGGGACCATGGAGAGGGGGAAAGAGCGGAGGGGGCGGGACCATGGAGAGGGGGAAAGAGCGGAGGGGGCGGGACCATGGAGGGGGGAAAGAGCGGAGGGGGCAGAGGAGCCGGGATAGGGCGGGCGCCGCGCAATCCAAAATCACCCGGGGAGTGAGCCCCAGTGGGGTGGTGGCGGGGTCGGACGAGGTAGGGATCTGGGCACTCGGAGGACACTAGGAAGGGGGTGTCTGCGCGGGGGCAGGTCCACCCTCTGGAGTCCGCACACCTATGCAGTAAGGAGAGGTCACCTGGTGGACAGAGTTGGCACAGCGCCGGGTTTCCATTGCCTGTCTCATCTATTTAGTCTCCCGGCTGTCTGGGGACTCGGTGAATCCGTTAATGAGTTGATGAGGCAGGTCGTGCTCCCTGTAAATTTTGCATTCAAAGCCCTCCGGTATTGTCAGCGCAACTTTTGCTCCCTGCCGCTGACGGCTCCCTGCCGCGGTGCTCCCATTCAAGCCTACCCTCTCCAGTCCGATTTCCAGCCTCCAGCCTCCACCCCCCACCCCCACCCCACCCCTAGCACTTTCCCACCTTTGAGCCTTTGTGCCAGTCCCCAGTAGAAATGCCACGCTTTGGGGAAGCCACCGACCCATGCAGTCTATTCGCTCTGTGCTCTCAGAACACACGATTTGCCCTTCTAAGCACAGACAGTGTCACTGGTACTTTTAATTCACTCAGCCGCTCAGCCTTTCGGGAAACATTTATTGAAAAGCCTACTATGCGCCAAAGGGAACAGATGTTCAGCATAAACACAGGAATCCTGCCTTCGGGGAATCTACAATCTAGGGAGGGAGCCAGAGATTAATCAAATAATCACATAAAGAAATGACATAGGACACTGGTGTCCAGCACCCTGTAGGCCTTCTCTGGGTTTCTGGTGAAGGAATACAGTGTGATCAGTGCCATGAAAGATAGGTCTGGGGGGTGCAGTGCTTCCCTGAGGAGATGGGAAGGACAAGGAAGAATCAGCAGGTGAATGGAGAGAAGAGCATTCCAGATGTGCAAAGTCCCTGTGGTAGGAAAAAGTGCAAGGGTAAGAGAACCTAGAGGCCAGTGTGACTGGAATGGGAGTGACAGGGAGGGAGCACTGTTCAAGGCAAGGCTGGAGCGGCAGATAGCCAGAGCAGCAGGCCTTTAAGGCTGTAGTGAGTTTTAACTCTCGCCCACAAGTAATGAGGCAGCAATGAAGACTTTAGGACAGGGTGTAACCTAATCGGTTTGTATTTTGAACAGCAGATTAGAGATGTCACCACGTGAATGCAGGGAGACGAGTTAGGAGGCTATTGCTAGAATTAACTGGGTCTGGGGTGCCTCCCTACTGAATGGTGAGTACCCTAGGATAGGACTTGTGCCTGGTACGCCTCTGAAGCCCCACACAGACAGACAGACAAACACACATACACATATACCCCCAGCCTGGGGAGTGTACAGAAAAGGTGCCTAATACACATTTGTGAGATCAATCTGAAATCAGAGTCATCCAGCACTGTTCATCCCACCAGTTTATGTACACAGGACTCTCGGGGCCTTGGGAGCAGTAGATCGGGACAGGGAACCCAGGCGTCCTGCCGACCAGCATCTCCCACACCTGGGAGCTAGGCTCCCATCTCCTCTCCATTCGCTTCCTTCATCAAACGTGTTCATGTTCACGGCCTGCCGGTCCAGGCCTGCTCCTGGCGCGGTACACCAGGCTCTGTCCTCAGCCTTGGGCAGCAAAGGGCAGGTGTGCTGACCTTTCCCACACCATCTTGGCTCCTCAGCGGTCCTGGCGCCGAAGTGGCGGTGACGGGGGATGCCGTACTGGGGGCAAGTCATAGTGTCCAGGGATGTAGCTGTGCTTGGGCGAATCATAGTGGCCAGGGGGCAGTCCCGGAGGCATGGGGGGCTGGGAGCCCAGAGAGTCTCGGTCTGGAGACAGAGAGAGGGTAGGATGAGAGGGGGCAGGCTCCTCCCTGGGCCACAACTCTCCTCCCCTCTCCATGCAAAGCGAGATGGACGGTGCCTGGACACAGGCCAGCTCCCCACCTGCTGTGTAGCTCTGACAGGAGCCTGTCACCCCTCAGCTGCCAGGGGCAGAGGCCACTTTGGCCTGCCCACTTCCTAGGATGTGAGGGCACTTTATCACCTGCCTACCATTTTCCTAGGTACCAACTCCATCTCAGGCGCTGTACAACCTGTTTCAAATCCAACCTGTGTCAAATGCTTAGCCCTGCAAGATAGGTACCTCCACTCCATTTGACAGATGAGGACACGGGCTCTAAGAAGCGAAGTGACTTCCCCAGCGCCTGCCTGGTTTGAACCCAAGTCCGACCCCAAAGGCCTTGCTCTTGCTGCCCCATCACGCTACCCCTTATTCTCTCACTCCGTCTTTTCTCTCTTTCACCTGCCCTCGTTTCAGTTCCCTCAACCCTCACCCCAGCAGAAAGGGAGGGCTCACCGTGGGTCAGGGGGCTGGGCTGCTCGTAGGTGCCACTGTCTCTCTGTGGCTGGAGGGGTCGCAGCCTCTGGCTGTTCCGGAGCTGAGGCTGCCTGGGAGGAGAGCCTGAGGGGGGGCCTTTCATCTCCACATAGCTGCTCTCTCGGGGGCCCCCTAGCAGGCTGGGCAGGTCCCGGATGGTGGCATAGGGGTTCTCACTGCTCAGGGAAGCCACACTGGCCCCCAGTCCCTCCTCGGAGATGGACCCTAGAGATGGGGAGAGGAAGGCAGGCTCGGTGGAAGCGCCAGCTAGACCCCAGCTCAGCCCCCGCCCTCACTGCCCTGTCCCATACCTTTGCTATAGAACTGTCCTAGGCCATTACTATTGCTGTAACTAGAGCTGTAGCTTCGGTCCAGGCGGCTGCTACCTGAGAACCCAAAAAACCAAACCCATTGCCGTTGAGTCAATTCCGACTCATAGTGACCCTATAGGACAGAGTAGAACTGCCCCAGAGAGTTTCCAAGGAGCGCCTGGTGGATTTGAACTGCCGACCTTTTGGTGAGCAGCCATAGCTCTTAACCACTATGCCGCCAGGGTTTCCACTACCTAAGAAGGAGGAGGCAATTCGCAGACCCCAGGCTCCCACCTCCTCTAGAACTGGGGCCCAGAACCCCCTTCTCCAGACCCACAGACTCAGATGGAGCAGACTGCTGGCCTGCACACATCACCCTCACCAGAGGCCCAGGCTCCAGGCACCTACCCCTGTCCAGAGGCCCCGGGGGGGGCTTCCGACGGTGCTTCCAGTCAGCAGGTAGGGTGGCATGGTTATCATGCCCATGGGCTCCACCTGGCCGCTCAGGGGCCTGGAGGCTGGCAAAGAGCTGACTGCCTGGAATCTGAGAAGGGAGGGGCACAGTAGGGAGAGTATCATGCCAGGGCGGAACTTTCCAGAGAGCCAGGTCTGTGCCCATCCCTCCCCAGCGCAGCCCCTTCCCCAGTACTGACCTTGTTAGGGGGCGGGGGGATAAGCGAGCACTGAGACAGGGTGTGGTAGCTGGGGTTCGAGTAGTAGTGACTGTAGCTCGGGGGGACATCTGCAGGAAAACCACATGTATAGGGTCAGCTCAGGCAGGCCGGGGGGCCCAAGGGAATTGAGATCTGGGCACTTCCATCCCAGGAGATCAGTCATTTGGCCTCCCTGACCTCCCTCCCTCCAGCTCCCCACTTCCTGTCCCCTGGGTTCATGGAGCCCCGCACCCCATCCTGCCCTTGTGCCTCTGAGCCAGCAGCTGGTGTGCGCCCCACACGCCCAAGCCGGCTCACCTGGCACAACATACTCAGAGCCATCCAGCGGCCCGCTGCTGTAGGCCACGGCCAGGTGTTGGTGCTCCTTGCCTTTTTGCCAATGGCGGTAGCCAATGAACAGTGCCACCAGTGCCACCACCAGGGACCCCAGCACGGCGATGCCAATCACCGCCCCCAGCGAGTTATAGGCCACTGGAGAGGTAGGCATCATGGTGAAGGGCTCCTGGCTTCCTGTGTGGGATGGGCAGTCACTCAGGGCAGTGTCTGGGCTCTGCTGGTGGGCTTGGGGCTGCATACATGGGAGAGGTACCCAGCAGGGAGGTAGGGATGGTACAAGGGGCCCAGGTCCTGGCAGAGACCCAGGGGAGGTACGTGGCATCCTGGCTCCCTGGGCACAATAGGGACTAGATGAGAACTCACTGATCCTGCAGGGGGCACCACTCTGCCCTGGGGGACACACACAGGCCCCGGTCTCCGGGTGGCACCTCTCTCCAGGTCCACACTGGCACGGCTGGGAGCAGTTGGTACCGAACATCCCTGGAGGGCAGCCTGGGGAGGGAGCCAAAGGAGGTGGGGACCAGAGGGGCCAGGAAACTACGGTCTGCTCC